AGGGAAAAAACAGGTTGCGTCTCAGTGAGTCCCTGGCTGAACAGCCAGCTAGCAGTGAGGGCCAGCTGTGCTACTGACATACTTACTCTGTACATGGCCCAGACTTTCAGAAGTCTTCTCTTCCCCCAGTATACATCAAAACCAGAATTTAAAACCAGATTTTACAAACAGCTATCTTTATTTGCATTTAAAGACATGATTTATCTCTCTTTTCATGTCAATGGGAATTTTCCCATGGATGTTTAAAGTAAGTTAACTGAAGGTAAAAAGTAAATATTTTTAAAAGTTGTTTCTTGTTTAGTAGAATAAAAGCCTCAGCTGAAGTCAGAGGAAACAAAGTTAAGTCAATGCTGAATGCTCTAGAAATTCTGAAGCTTGGTGCTTAGTATTAGAATATCCAGTATTAAAGGGTTTTCCCACTTCTCCCCAAGCATTTGGATTTACATAATGCAACACTAAGAGAAAAAATACTGCCATGTAATCACATGCTTCTCGTGTCAGGCTCAAGAAGAGAACGTTGTGGATATCGGATCCTGCGTAGCCATCGTAGTTCAGAAGATCACGTGCATTGCATTGGCAAAGCTAAGAAATACAGTGAGACAGCAACCCGTGTAAAAGAGATCCTGCTCAGCACAGTCAGCCCAGAGCAATTCGTTTTGACACTACTTGAAGCGGAGCCTCCCAATGTGCTGGTGAGTCGTCCCAGCAAACCATTCACAGAGGCCTCCATGATGATGTCCCTGACAAAACTGGCAGACAAAGAGCTGGTTCACATGATTGGTTGGGCCAAAAAGATCCCTGGTAAGTATTTCAGTCTCGTTTTTGTTTATTTAAGACAATGCTTTTACCATCGATGTATCATTCTCTACCCTGAAATAACAGCACAGCACAGTAAATGTAAGTGTGAAAGTCTTAAGATTTTTATCCTGTAAAATAATGAACAATTTATTGCTCTCAGTAATTCACCTGGATGTATTTTGATTTAGACAATGACCTAGCTCATAATTTGCTGTCTGTTGTTAGTCAAATACTTGTTCATTTTGCTAAAAAGCATAGTTGGTGTTGCATGCAATTTCTAGCTCATCAACTATAAATACATGATTAATCTGATTTAAAAGGTTCATTAAAAGAGGTATTAACTAGTTGGTTATAAAAAAGAATTTAAGACCAATTTTTTCCTTGAATCCTGATAAAAGGTTTCTAACATAGTTGAAAATGAAAGTGTGTCCAAACAGTGAGTGTCTACAATTGCTTCATTTGACATAGTTACTACACAAGAATGCCAGATTGCTAAGTGGTGCAGAGTATCCATCTCAGAATTATCATGCGTTCTCCTTCAAAGCAAAAATCAGTAAGGATGTGTTTGGTTGTTGGCAACACAGAAAATGTACACTGAAATTCAACTACATGCATTATTGCCTTGAATGTCTCAAATACCGCTCCAGCATCATGGCAATGTGCCATTTCACTTCTTACAGCCTAAAAGTGGTGAGCATTTGCAATTCCTTCTCCATTAAACATCCATGATTAAAACAGAATAAAGAATAAAAGCCAGAATAAAAGCAGCCAGCACACAGAGATGGTGTTGGCAAAGGTGTGCAGAAAAGTTGCTGGCTGGCATAGACCAAACCACAGACTGTAGCCCTTTAGCAAGAGCTAAATATTTGAATGGGGCAAAAAAACCCCAAACAACATTTTAAATTTTCTGATTATTCTTAATTTCATTTTTTTTAAACTATGTCAGCTTTTTTTACACAAAACAACCACAAACCCAAAGCTTCAGCCAGTTGAGATTGATTTTTTGATTTGTTTTTAAAGTTCAGTTTCCAAACGAACCCAAATTTTGACATTGATCACTTCTAGTTTATTTTCAACATATGTCAGAAAATAAAAACTTTTCTTGGCAATAAGAGAGCTGTATGAAGAAAACCCGTTGAAGCAATCAACCCCCTTCAAAACGGTTCCAGGGAATGTTGACACTTCATCTTGTATGTTTGGTTTGGGGGTTTTTTTTCTGATCACTCGTCTTACACAGAACAGAAACACCATTTTAGAACAATGCCAAAATAGATGTGATTGTTTAATACGTTCCTAATTACAAGTAATACTGCCATAGCACATGGCAGTTAGAACATTTACTTCAACGTGGATTTGTTTATTTTTTACATTAAAATAACTGTGAAGTCTAAAGCTCAGGACATAGTATTTCAGGTTTTGAAACTTCTTGCCTGAAGTTAATCATCTAGATCCACGCCTGGTTCCTGGAGGTAAAAAAAAATACAGATTCTTGACTAATGGCCCAGTGAGCAGCAATTTTGATTTCTGTAAAGCTGAATGTTTGGGTTTGTGTGCCTGGGTTAGAAGCTCATTTTTACCTCTAAGTTATTATTGGACATTATTTTGACACTCACTGAAAGTGAAAAAAAGACTTTTTCTTTTTCCTTACAGATGCTTATGTTAACAGGAACCCTAAATAGGAAAGATAAATGTTGAGGGGTTGGGGTTTTTTCGTATTTAATATTTAATGTAATTCTTTTGTTAAGTTTTACTGTGTGCCTGTATTTTTGCCTGTACTTTCAGTTTAATGGATTGTATTTTTGTTGTTGCTCAGTAAAATAGAATCTGATACATGGATTTTTTTCCTTCTCAATTACACGTATTTTAATCCTAAATTGTCAGATGGCAGAATGTCTATAACTGCCTTTTATTTTGTTTCGCTTGTCTAAGATAGTTCAATGTGGTTCAAAGCCAAATCTGTGTTGCTAGTCGATAGAATGTTGTCATAATATTGAAATTTGGATTCATTTTGCAACCTAGTGTGCTGCTGGCCAGAGCAGCGTGCCTTTTGCTAGTCACTACACATCCAGAACAAGAGTTTTCTAGTCTGTCCTAGTAATTTACAAGTAAATGATTAGGTGTAGAGCACACAATTTAAAGGACATGTAGTACAGCCATAGAAAAGTAAGTAGTTTAGTGAATTCTGCAGCAAATGAACTATGACTTCTGACACTTCAATAGAAGCTGTGGTGGTTGTGTGCTGTCCTCTATCTTTAAATCACAAGACTGTTAGGAAAAGGAAAGGTATAGTCCTTCTAATAGCTGTGCTCAGTGGTCATAAATCATACTGCTAGGGGTGATAATGTGAGTTTAGCAGATGACATCTGGATAAATGTGGATATGTAAGTATCTGTAGATTGAGCAGTGGGACCTCGTCTGACATCTCACTCAACTGAGATAGTTTTTAAACCAAGTAACTGTTTGTTTGAGATGGAGAAATCAGGGCACTCTTGTGTAAATGTTTATTTAAATAAACTTCTGAAATGTCTTGTGGCTGTTGTTTCCCAGGAAACTGCCACTTTTAGTTTGTACCATTCACACGTCCATGATTATGTTTCTAAAAGCACTTTTAAAATTTTGAGTGTGAGTCTGGCAGATAATCTGTTGTTGGCTGTGGATTCTGTAGTAAATTATGTGACAGCAAAATCCAGGAGGGAAGGTACTGCTCACAGGCTTCTGTTTACCCTTCTTACACAATGGGGAGCAAGCCATTTTGAAAGGCAGCACTTTTTTTGATAAGAGTGTGTGCACATTACCCAGTTTATATCAACCCAAAGCTGTCACCAGCTGTCTTCCAGCTGGGTATTTTAATAAAATTAAAATACATGGAGCATTTGTATAAATTACTGACAGCAGATTCTTTGACAGTGAAGCACCTTTGGATAGGATAGAGACCTATCTAAGCAGCTCTGCTTTGAAAACTGGCCTGATCTTGGTTTTGACCACCGAACTGCTCTTCATCGTGTCTGTGTTTTTGACTGAGCTGTCTGCTTTCCCAGTTGCACTTCGATATGTACACTTCTCTCTCGCCTTTTGGTTCAGGGTGTGTAAATGTTGTTTCTCTCTATATGGCTTCTATACACCTTTTTTCCCCAGTGGTTTTGCAGGGGGAGAGGAAAGGAGGGAAATGACTGTCTCTTCTGGCTGTGCTGCAGCGCAATCCAGTGTCTTGCTGTAAATTCTGGATAGAATTTTTTCTTCTGGTTTACTGCAGTTTTGGGGAAGGAGACAGCAGGAAAGGGATCAGAAAGAGAGGGGGTCAACTTATGGCATTTGCAGAGGGGATGACAATACAGAGGCACCAAGATGTGGGTTTTTTAACAGTTACCCAAGAAACCCAGAAACATGTCTGTCTTACGAGAGAAAAAGTCCTGCAAAGAGCAACCATACGCATTCTGGGGAAAGAACAGACATTTCTTAGGGGTCTTCTGCAGCGCAAGGCAGTCATCTCCAATGAATGTGAGTTTCCCAAGTGATTCTCTGAGGTCTTTCTGGATGCTGTGAGACTGTCATCTAAAGAACTGGCCCAGCATAAGGCTGGTCCTCTGTAGCCACTTGAGTTTCACCAGCTGTATGCGAGTAATTGCGCTGGAACATCACTCTGTGTTATTTCAAATGTTTTGTGGAAGGTTTGAGAATGATATTAACAAATATTTATGTTCCTATTTGAGATGGTAGCATGGCACTTCTGATGTCAGTGCTCCCTTTTCTGGCTTTCTTCACAACCCATAATTCATTCAATTTCTTTTTGTTTCTCATATACTGAGACTTCTTTGTCAAAAGAGAGAAATAAAGAGGTTGGTTTACGTTATTTTCATTATTTTAGGCTTCATTGATCTCAGCCTCTATGACCAAGTAAGACTTTTGGAGAGTTGCTGGATGGAAGTTTTAATGGTTGGTTTGATGTGGAGATCAATTGACCATCCTGGGAAACTGATTTTTGCACCAGATCTTGTATTAGACAGGTAAGAGCAATAAATTTCTTGAAAACACTTCATATTAGCATGTTTGGAGGTAAGAGAAGAGTATTAAATATGGAAGATGCTATTACTATTTTATCTAACAATAGAATTTACTTGTATTTGTAACAACAATGTCTTGAGGCTCTGTATCTCTACAGGGGCTTAAGGAACACTGAGCATAAACAGTACTGTTGAACTTGCAGATTCCTGAATTCCTGCAGCACGTGGCAGTGTGAAGCTTCTCCGTATTTTTCACACCTTTTGTTGGCTTTGTTCCTTATAGTCCAGGTCTCTAGATGCTGAAACTGTTGACACAGCAACACAATGCACAATGTTGGCAATTTTTCCCCACTTCCCTCAAAAACTGTAGACTTAATGTCAGGCCATATTTTAATTGAAGTAGCTTTTCTACCTATTTTTCTTCCTGCCACTGCTGCTATTCTCAGTAACACCATGTACCAGCAGGGAAGAATACGGATATGTAAGGAGGTTTTTCTACAAGACCTTAGAAGGTTTTGAAGTTCTATAGTTCTCCTGCATTGCTATGCTTAAGTCTTCCTTATATTAAGAACATTACAGAGTAAAAAATATGCATATTACATACAGCATAAGAAGCACCCGTTTGAATACTGTGTTGTAGAGCTTAATTGCTTTTTTAGTCCAGTACATGTGGAAAAAAACCTAACAAAAAAACTGGAACAGTAAATACAGTGGCTTGAAATTTGCTGCTGGTTAATTTTAAACCTATTGGAGTGGCTTAAGGTTGTTTGTTTCTTTTCTGAAAACGGGACCATTTCTAATATCCAAAATGGAGAAAGTTGCATTCAGTAAACACTTGCAAACATAACAATAAACAATCACAAGCCCACCAACTCCCCACGCTCCCAATCTATCTATACTTAAACACCTTTGAGGAAAAAGCTGCTGGGGGATGGGGTTAGAGGTTGTTTTATTCTTTAAAAGTGTCCTGTTATTCCAAGAAACTTCTTTTAGGAAGTCTTTTTTGTTCACCAAGTGCTCAGACCTCCCTCAGGTACAAATAGGTATTAACTCCTTGTGAAAGAAATCTGGAAAATGATTCGAGGTGGTACTGTGCCCTGCACTACAGTGTTTCAAACTGATTATCGGGACTATACTGGCTGTGAGGATAAAGCTTCTTACAGAAATATGGTCATAGTTACCTGTGGTCCATCCTGCATGCACTTTAAAGAGAAAATCAGTTTCTTAGAGGTGCTGACCTTTTATGCCACTGTAATTTTCAATTTAGATTTCATGATAGACCCTTTCAATTCTCCCAAAGATGAGATGGATAGGCCTTTTTTATCTGGCTGAGTCGGAGTTTCTTCATTCTACTTTTTCAATAACATTTTGAATGTGTTTCCATAGGGACGAGGGGAAATGTGTAGAGGGAATTTTGGAGATCTTTGATATGCTTCTGGCCATGACCTCAAGGTTACGAGAGCTGAAACTGCAGCACAAGGAGTATCTGTGTGTCAAGGCAATGATTCTCCTCAATTCCAGTAAGTATGTGGCTGGCTCTTACACTCCCCAAACTACTTTCTATTTCGAAGGTGGCTGTGCAATCAGCCTCTAAAAATGGCAGGATTATCAAATGACATAAAGCTGCTAAAAGAGAACAATAGGAAAGGATCGGTAAGGATGTTTGCTCAAGAAAATGCTGAGCTGTATTATTTGCTGGTTTTATGGTCTATGATGTCCTGTAGTAAGAACTGCATGAAAGACCCAAAGTCTGAAAGGTTCTTACAAGGTGGGGCTCAGGACCCAGGATGTGGGTATGTCCTTTTCAGCAAGAACTTTTACTCATAGATTAATTTCAGATTAATTTCAGGCTATGAGCTTTGCTTTGTGGAAGGCTTGCTTTGCAGTGTTTTACCCAAGGCAAACAGGAGCATGTTTGCCAGTATAAGGTAGTCTGCAGTAAAATAATTTTAATCCCCAGAACGTTTTGTGATCAATGTTGTCCAAAAAATCCAACAACAAAATAACAGCTGTTACATGGACTGTTTTCAGCAAGAAGCTGCTGCGTAAATCTCATCCCACTTCCGAAGGGAAATGGTCCAGCAGTTACCCCACTTGTTTATAGATAGATACCATTATTTCAATAGACAACAAAAGCTGTTCTTTTTTTCTTAAAAAAAAAAAAATCCTCACACCAACTAACCAAACAAAAAACCCACCAAAAAGCTGTGTTCATCAGCTGCATTTCCTTCAAAGCCTCACCTCTCAAAAGGATCTCTCCTTTCACCTCTCCCTGCTTGCCTTTCTTGTCAAAGTTAATCTTTTACTCCTTATTTTCAAGGTGCTCTGGAGCTCTGTCTTTCCGTAAGTATCTCTGGGAGGACTGCTGCCCCCTACCCCCCAGATGTCTTCTGCTCCATCAATGATTTTATTGTGTGTTTCCAGACCTCCTTACTGGTGATTTCTCTTCTCTCTCCCTCCAGTTCCCTTCTTTTTGCTGACTTTTAAGGTTTCCCACTGTAGGCAAATGCTGTATTATGGCACCCTCAGCGAGCTGTACGGAGACCATGGCAGGCCCTCCCTGGGATATACTCAGACAAAAAAGGTTTTTTTCAACAAGAAGAGATTAGAGCAAGCATAATGCTGTAATTCATAATAGTTACTAAACTACAAGGTACAGAGTTATTCAAAGGAAAAAGAACCTGGAGAATGGAGAGCATGTCCATTCTCTGGACCAAAGGGACATGAGAACATGTCAACATGTCACAGGAGGATTTGGGAGAATTGCTCAGTTTGCAAAGGATGTGGCCATCAAATTTTGGCAAAGGAGTGTGAGTTGAAGCTTGATGTGGCACTTGGAGCATCATCTGTACAGTCTCGAGGGGGGGTGGCAGGAAATGTATCTTCTCTAGTCCTGATGAAATAGGATATCAGAAAAAAGTCCACAGTTGTAGCTTCTTTTTCTTCCTCATGTATGTATTTCTCTCTCTGTTTAGGCATGTTTCCCTTGTCAGGAGAAGAACCTGAAAGCAACAGGAAACTGCATCACCTGCTTAATGTGGTCACAGATGCTTTGGTGTGGGTTATTGCGAAGAGCGGAATCCCCTCGCAGCAGCAGACCACTCGCCTGGCCAACCTGCTGATGCTCCTCTCTCACGTCAGACACGCAAGGTACATTTTACACAGTGTGTGTAACGTGTACGGTCTTGGTGCTTGTTTATTGCAGCCACAAAGCGAGGCTTGAGCTCCAGAGCACTCCTGAGGGAATCCTGGTACTGCTCTTCATCTCTGTCCATTGTAAGGCTTTCCTTCCTAGCACAACTGAACAGCCACTATACTCACGTGCTTGCTGGCACTCAGACATATTGTGTCAATATCAAAATGTCACTTTAACTGTATTACATTAAATTATTCATTATGGAGCTGCCTGAAATGTTTGACAATAATTACACAAATTCAGCTTTTCAAAAAGACCCACGCAGTCATCAGAACTCTTCTGTCCAAAATAGCCTTTTTCCAAACTCAGCTGCAGTGTGGGCTTTGCTGGAGCAAAGTGTACCGTGGGTGCCATGTTCGTCCCAAGCCAAAGTTGTTGTCTTTTGCTCAGAACCACCTTATTTTTGCCAGGTGACTTGTGTTACAGCAATACCACGCTCCTGCTTTCCCCATCGGAGCAGTTCCTCTGCTCCCTGTCAGTTCCGAGACCTCTAGAGCTGCTCATCTCTGCTTGCAGTACAGCAGACTCAAACACAAGGTCCTACAAACAGATGCTTTAATTTTCAGGCTGTTTGTAATTTTAAATTATTACCCAAAGCCCAGCTATTCACAAAGCTGTTTTATGTCTTCACTTTGGACTGTGTGTCCAGGGAAGGCAACTGTTCTGGGACCAGGCTGGACTATATAGAGGAGAGACGAGTGTATCTGACTTTGTGTAGAGACACTGAGGAGGGACAGCCACCTTTGCAACAGGCTTCCTGGGAGAGTGGGTGACAGCAGCAAGAGCCTGGCTGTGCGAAAGGCCAGTTTGTGAACTGGGGTGAGGCTGAGAACTGGCCCTACAGGAGCTACAGCACCAGCCAGAGCCAAACCAGAGTCAGGGCTCTGACGCTCTGCTGTCACCTGGGTTGCCCACTGTGGTGTGACACCACATCACAGCATTGCAGGAGCTCTTATTCTGACATGATGTGAATAAACATTGGGAATCATCACTAATTTTCTATATTTTCTTATTAAAACAAGAGGGTTTATGCTGTGCCTGCCTCAGGCAAAGTCTGGAGGCTACTTGAGACCTGTCTCCTTTACATTGCTTAGGAGTGGTCAGTCAATTATACTTTGTTCTGGAAATAATTGATGCTCTCAGCCTTGATTACCAAATGATGCAGAACTTGAGATCTGGGTGTAGGAAGGGGGCTGCAATTTCTTCTTTACCATTAATGCATTTATAACTCTCAAACTGTAGCAGAACCTCATTTTTCTGGAAGCCTTGTCCCACTCCCCAAGCCAATCTACTAGGTCAGCTATGTGCTGGCTGCCTGCTACTATTTCCACTGTGATGAAGTTGGTGTTGAGCAAGCTCACTTAGATTTCAACCCCAAAACCTTGAGTGCATCTGGAGTATATATCCATGTGCAACTGCAGTGGCAATAGCCATCTCCTCTTAGTCCAAATCATGACACAGCCACAGAGCATTCAAGCTAATAAGGTGTCATTATATCTTACTGCATAACAAAAAGATTACTTTAAAAGCCTGTAGCCGATCTGACACCGGACATGCAGAGAGGAAACAAACTACTTGAAGTTAGACAGGGTAATTTGGTCTTCCTACTCAGCCAGGCAGGAGTCAGGTAGTCTTTAGAGCTGCACGTTGTAAATTCTCCTTTTGTATAAAGCTGCAGCGTGTGGACCTCCCACATTTACAGCATCAAAGAGGTTGTCTATTTGATTTTAATAGGGTCGGTACATCCAATTATTTTCTGAAGTCAGTTTGTGTGGTGTAAAACAAATCTTGGTTCTCTAAATAGTAAACCACTCAGCCTTAAAGTACTGAGGTGCTGTCACTGTCCATAGTGGTAAGTGGTCTCAGGGACTACAGCAGCTAAATCCTCTTAACCCCTAAATAAAAAAAGACTTTCTTGAAGCCACAGGTGTGTTTCCTTCTCTGCGTTGTTGGACCCAGGTCAGTGACTTTCTGAACTCACTGAACGTTCTGTTTTCCTGCACAGCAACAAGGGAATGGAGCATCTCCTGAGCATGAAGTGTAAAAACGTGGTCCCAGTGTATGACTTGCTGCTGGAGATGTTGAATGCACACACTCTGCGAGGGCAAAGGAAGTCCCCGGCCACGCATCCCGAATTTGGCCCGTTAGAACAAATGGAGACTGGAGACAGTCTGCGGAATGGGGCAGCCCAGTAATTCTGCTGAGACCTGGAGATGTGATGCTTGTCCAAAGCTATGGGAGAAAACAAAACTGCTGTGGTGGGACTACTGAAGTGTGACCTAGTGTGAGGCCTCGTCTCCTCTAGATTTGCACATCGATATCTCGGGAAAGGCTTGTGGGACGCACGCTTCTGTCTGTATTTCTGAATTATAATAGCTGCACTTTAACAGTGCCTTTTTGGAGACTCTTCAAAAGCACCTTATGAAATTAAGCCTCAGAACAGAGCTGTGAGACAGGGAATTACTGCCTCTCCTTTTCAGAGGCAGGCAAACTGTGACAGAGAGATAAAGGGACTGGTTTAAGATGACAGAAGTCATCTATGTCAGGGCTAGGAGTGAGCACCTAGGTTTCTGTCTCCCAGACCAAGGCTTTTATGTGATGACTAGACGATCTCCTCTTTCAGCATGAGACTGTATGAAATGTAGAGCAGCATTTTGGGATAGATCCACTTACCTGTGTGTGCTGGTCCCTGGGGAATCCTGCTTTGCTGCTGATTGAGATAAAGTGCCAAGATATGTACAGCGTAAAGGAGTTTCTTCTGCTGTTAAATATGCAATGGCTGCAAGGGCCTTCATTTGAAGGCCATTCAGAATAGCTTCTAAGACCTGCTCAGAGCCTTTTCAGAAATGTTAAACCAAGCTTAAGTTTGTATTTTGTGAGCCTGTTCTTAACACTCACATTATTATCTGCATATAATTCTTCAGTGCTTTAAAGAATGACCAAACTGCCTGGATATTTCGGTCAATGCTGACCTTTGACATGTGTTTTGTCTGTGAGATTAACATGTTGTTTTATATATTTATTAATGATGTGGAATCTATTATAATAATTAGGTACAAAGATTGCTCTGTGAATATAACTGTTTGCATTTGTATATGATCTGCTAATCAGGGCTTGTGAAATCAGCTAGAAACAAACCATCTTCCTTCCTCTTTGGACTTGCTTGTGGATTTATGATGTCCTGCACACCCGAAACCTCTTGCAGCCATCTTGCAGGGGGAGGCAGTGGACTGGAGCATCAGCGCGGACCTGGTTTTGCCTGCTGGCCTCAGGTTTGCTGCTTGCTTGTTTAGAAAGCGTGTGGCACCTTATGCTGTGGGTTTCGTATCTTGCACTGGATCCTTCAAAGAGCAGGGGTGGGACAGTTCTGGCACTTCCTTCGCTGTGCAAGTGTGAGGCATCGTTTGAATTTCATTGAAGATGTGGTTTAACCCCCCCATCTTGCTGGTTTATGCGTGTGTTTAAGCTGAGAAAAAACCCAACAACATAGGAAATAGCCTGGCTGGCGGCCTCAGTGTAGAGCAGGATGGCATCACTCAGTCTGGCAACTGCCAACATTGCGTTTTGATGTGAGCTAGAATCACGCTAAATGGATATGTTTAAATGTAATGCATGCATTTTCTGGGCATTTCAGATATGGAGGAAATAAACTGGGATCAGACCAAACGTCTATTTTGAGCCAATAAGTCTTTTGGGTTAGGGACTGTATCAGTATGCCATTTGCATACTTGGAGTATTAATCAAACTTTTGATCTTGGTGTTTTTTTAAAGCCAAGGAGAGTATTTTTTATAGGAGGCACATAAAGAGTTTTCAGTGAGTTGCACAAATCTGTCGTCTTGTTTTGATCTTGTACTATACCAAATGCTGCTGACAGTCTGAATTTTTACTGGCTACCTTTTTAGTGTTTTTAAGAAACTGTAATATAGCCGTGCCCTTCGAGATGTGTAATATTTACTACAAAAAAGGGAAAAAATGTGAGTACAGGCTCAAATTTAGTGGTACTTTCATTTTGAGGGAGGCTTTGCTGTGAAACAGATGTGTTTTGGTGTTTCCTGGGCTTGACCACGTTCTGGCCTCTGTGCCTGTTGTATTGTTTTTAACTCTGAGTTTCCTATCCTGTGCAATCTTTTTGTTTAATGCAGTTTTTCAAAGAAATGTTTAAGTAAGTGATTATTTTTGTCTTATTTTGCATTAGAAGTGCTGAATCTATGTGCAAGCCTGAAACAAACTTCTTAAAAAGAAAACGGTGAAAGAGTGGATATAAATTGTAAAATTAACTTCTAAATGGAAATTTGCTCTGGATTGCCTCTATGAAAGGGCGATGCTGCAGATTTGTGCCATGTGTTGTGATTAATATATGCCATTTCTAGCACAGTGCAAATAGGAAACTGATGTTATTTTAACACATACTTCTTGTCTCTGTGAATATAATGTTATTAAAGTTACTACTAGTGTTTTAAAATGGGCAAAAGCCAGTAGCTGTTGCCTCTCTGGATTAAAGTAGCTGTGGTCATATGGTCATATTTGGATAAGGAGGAGGTGCATGTCTCTAAAACAGCACAGTTTATAATCAGGAAGCTGTGTGACAAAAGGACAGAACAAGGGTGCCTTTGGCTCTTCAGGGAGATGCTGGGTTGATCATGGGTCTGTATCCCACATGCTCTCTCGGATGCTGCGTTCCTGCTGTGGAGCACATCTGTGTCCCTGCCAAGCTTGAGCAGAGCTGTCACACTGCGTTTCAATGCAGATTTTGGGGAGGCTTTTCCAGTTTCAGCATGAATGAATTGAGGGCTGCGAGCAGGGGAGGAGGGCAGGGCTGGCTTATTGCTTTCCTTCACTGCTCTGCTGTTCACCAGCTTCTGCTGGGAGCTGGGCAGAGGTGCCTGTTTCTACTTGAAGAAATGATGCAGTTCTGGGACGTTCGTGGACAAATGCGGTTCATGCAGGAGTGCTGGTTGCCATGGGTTTAAAGAAACAAAAATTAAATAGGGAAATAAGAACAGCCCCAACTCTTCCTTACACTGTTAAAAACTTGCTCAAGTTCCGCTCAAGTCTGGAGCTAGGACTAAAGAGTAAAACAAACCTGATCTTTTTTAAGAATTGTCTAAGTCTTACAGCATTTCAGACAGGTGAAATGCTTTGTCTCCAGGAATGGGTGACCTTTTCCACAGCTCTGTCTTCTTGCAGATTACTCATTTTCAGTACTGTCATGTTGCCAATCAGAGAGGAGAACCTTCTCCCATGAGATAGTGACTGGCAGGATCCTGTAAAATGTGTAGCAAACTAAGAAATGTATCACTTACTTACTTAAAGATTTCTTTTCCAATAAATATGCGTATTTCCATAATAATAATTATTAATTCCTTATTGACTGAATGATAAATCTATACAAGGGTCATTGTGACGAAAGAAGAACATCCTTTCAAGTGTTGGAACTTTTTCTTTTCCTCCTGATGACCTGTGAAGTATGGAAGACATTTTCTGTATTTGCATTATTAGAGTGGTTTAAAAGAGTCTAAAAACGCAGTGAGGCCCCAGAAAGTTGCCTCTTGGTCCTATTCAAGCTGTCACCAGTGACCGGCCTCTTCTGAGGTAAGAATTTTTGTCTTGTTTGGACTTTATCATAGAATCATAAAATCACAGAATCTTAGAATGGTTGGGATGGGGCAGCCACAACTGCTGGGCAGCCTGCTGCAATGTCTCACCACCCTCACTGTAAAGAACTTCTTCCTAACATCTCTCTCTTCCCTGCCTTTCCCCACCAATGTAAGTGTCCATGGGAGACAAGTTGCTCCTACCTGGAGAGCTAAGTTAAAAACAAAGTATGGATTCACATGACTTCATCCGAGGGGCCTTACAGTGAGCCCAGCCTAAGGGCCTGTCACAGGTATTACTGCTTTATAAGGCTGAATAGTGAATGTATATATATTCAGTAGATCTATCAGTATATTCTGTTCAGTTCTTTGCATGGCAGAGAAGCTTATAAACCCCCAACCAAGGAGAGTCACCACCATGGCAGCTGCTTTTAGTCTTAGCCTAGCTGTAGACTGCACTTCTTTCCATGGTGCATGGTCCTGTGATCCTTCCACACACTCAGTTGGAAGTCATGGAAACACCTTTGTTATCACCACCATTTGTCTTGGAAGAAAGAGCTTGACATTATTTATGTCCTGCAAAATAGTTGTTCAGCAAAGCAGTCAAGGACATGGTCATCTGTTGTGCTGAGCCAGTGCCTAAACTAGAGCACTCTGAATGGGAATACGAAAAGCAAATGAATTGCTAAAATCTGGTAAATAAGTAGTATTAATTTTTCACAGTGTTTTACTACTGAACTGTGGTGAGTTAAATGGCACACTGTTTCCTAGCTAAAGACTTCATTTTACTTATGATCTGGGTACTTTAAACTCTTTCCATCTTTACACGTAGGAGTCACCTCCAATCATGCATTGTTGAGTGTCAGTGATTTCAAATTTAACTGCATAAGGAAAACAAGATTGCTGTGCTATAAAAATGCCAACTTCTGCTGCTACTGCCTCAACTGACAAACCTTCACTCATCAATAGCCATGTCCCAGGGAGCTGTCATGGCCATTAACAGTGCTACTGCATGTTTCCTATGTCCATTTTCCTCAGAATTTTCTGTTCCGCGTCCTATTTTATATGTGATTTTAGTTTAAATGTTTCACCTTCACTGCAAGTTTGTAATGGAAATGGGTTTATGACTGAAGCTGGTGCCTTTTCTAGTACTCTATGTATGTAATTCTAATGTGAAAATATCCCACAATCCCATCCTTTCAGCTGCTCTTCAGTTCTGTGAACTTACTTATAGTACTTGTCTAGTGATGTGTGTTTCATTCAGTTGTAGATTGTTGTGGCTGAATAAACAGGTATCATGAAACCTAAATACATGGCTTTTTGCTCACTTCTTTCCTGTAGCTGAGCTCAGCCTGGTTCCATGGGTGGTGGGGCGATAGGGAGTAGGTATAGCTGACAAACAGATTGAGGTCCCATCTCCCTGCCAAAGAAAGATGACTTGGTTCCACTCCTTCATAAAATGCACGTGCAAAAGCATGGACATGTGTGCTTGCTCTCACTATTGCCCTTGCCCTCTGTTTTTAATCTTCTTTTTTTTCCTTCCCTTCACTGAACACTAACAACCCAGTCCTGAATGAGAGGACGTCACTAAGAAATTGGTGGGTATACATAATGACTTGTTTGAAGCAGACTTCAGCATCAGCCTACAGTGCAGTGGTTATCAACTAGAAGTAAAAGTATTAAAAATAGGTTTTGGGGAAAAAATAAAGTGTTACTTTCCCAGATTTTTTTTTTGTGACATTTCGAGATAATCTCATGAAATCTTTTCTTTTTATATATTACATCAGCTCAAAGATTTGCTGTAAGTACATAATGAAAGGAAATTGCAGGCTATGGAATTTTCTTTAGACCTTTTAACATTGTTCAGATTTTTTTTTCCCTGCATAGATTCTTTAACGGCAGAAGAACTGAATATCATGTCAGCAACTGACTATTAGTTCTTGGTGGAAAGGTTTGCATGGGCATTTTGTAACAACCTTGCAATGAAATAATGGTTAGAGTTGGCTGACTTCTAGAGAGGCAGAAACTTAAATGAGCTTAAATGTCTCTGTGTGGCAAAGGGTGGAGGGGATCCATCATTTATCTCTGG